GCACCTGCCGTTCCAGCTCTTCAACATAAGGGTTCTAGGCAACATCCTTCAATCTTCTAGCCTTGACCCCAGGTCAGGCAGGACGTTCGGGCTGTCATTTAGTTGCCCCGTATCATAGGTTAGGGGGCCTAAAGGTTAACATTTAGGATTATATAATAGATGATCATACTCCAAAAGAGGCGACAGGCTACCTACTCTAATAATTACCCTAAACCGCTAAGCCCCTAAACCCTAAACCCTCTAAACCCCCCAAAAAAGTGAAAAAGTTACCTATTCTACTACTAAGTCATGGTGCCCACTGCTCTTCGCTGGGATAGAGCCTTCGGAACCGCAAAGGAGCTGACCGGGGCCAGTGCTTGGAAAGCATCTCCATGTAGTCTATGGGCCCTGAATAACTAGAATAGGGCATTTGACTCGTTTTTCTAGTTTAAAATTGCAAGAGTCCCAAACATGAATCTGAGGGATTACAAGAGTAAGTATTCAGGCCCTTGTAATCAACGAAACCGCAGCCAATGAAGTGGACTGCGAACCTGTGCTCAAAACCAGGAACATGTTTCAAGCCTGCCAGAGAATCATGCCCGTTGTTGCAGTAGCAGCAGCAACAGCAGCAGGAGCAGGAGTGGCAGAACGGCTTTGTGTGACCCAGAGGTCTAACTGTTCGCGGCAACGGGGTCATAAGCCCACGAAGCTGCAAGTGCGCGGACTTGGTGCAGGCTTCTTGTAAGTCCTGCAGGAAATTCAAAATGGAAACCTGTGAGATGCACGGCACGGAGCCTCAGGCATGTCCATTTCGACATGTTGGGCTCGGGCTTAGGTTTAGGAGCCTAGGGTGTATTGATGTTTCTTGAGAAGCTTTCTGGGAAAATGGTCACAGCACAAAATGCGTCGATGTTCTGGGTCTTCAACGCCTTAGCACCCCAGACAAGGCTAAATGGAGCATTAGATCATTCGAGAAAAACGCATTTGCACCAAGCCTTCCACTAAGTCCGAAACTGCAAATCCCAATGGGCAAAATTTAAATGCCTATAAACGCCCGATAAACCTTCTCTTGCACCAACAAAGCGCCGAAATGAAGTATACGCATGACTGACATGTGCTCATGTCGTCGGCCGAGGCAAACCGAGCCGTCTCAGTCACCGGAGATTTGGTCACTGTCAGATTCTGATGTACTGACAGCATACGACTCGGGGTGCACAGAGCACGTGCGGATGTCACGACTCTTGGGTTTAAGGATTATTTAGGCTCGTGGGATTAAGGGGTCTGAGGGACTTAGGGCCTTAAAGTTCGTGGGTGCGTACTGAACCAACGGGCTAAACGATCCGACAAATGCTACACTGAGCACCCCAATCCCTAAAAGCTAACTTAACAAATCATGGCGGGGAAGTATCTGGAGCCCACGTCATGAGAATGAGAGCAGGGCAGTTTAGGGCGGGTAATCGTAAGTTATAGTTATTATTATAGTTCTGTTCCTCCAAGGATTCCTGATAACTTCCATAGCAAGTTCGCAACGATTGGACCCGGGTTTCACACTCGTCGTGCGGAAGCAATGCGACCATGACTAGTTGGCCGGTGCAACTAAAGGCTGCGACCAGCGCCAGCACGTACTCGTGCCGCTAGCGCCATGGTACGAATGACAAACAAGCTGCTACCACTACTGCGTCTGCTGGGGCGAGGGAACAGGAAGGAACCACATACAAACAAGTTACTAAGTACTATGCAGATTGTCATCACAACAGGTGAACCGGCACAGGTGACAACACTCACAGAAATTGTAAAATCCGAATGTCAGAAAGCACGAGAAACGAAACTCATTGTGGTGCCAGTATGCTGAACATGCTCTGTAAAGTAGTCGTGCAGCAAGGATAGGCCTGCTGGTGTCCGCAATCACAGTTGCTTTCGAGGTGATGCCGTCTGGACTCTTATGTATGTGTGTATATACATATATAGAAACATGTGCGTATACATGAGCTTCAGCTTTCTTATGCCTCACTCGCGGATACACTTTCTGATGTTCCTGCGCTGGCTTGTTATTTTTCCTGTCGTCAGCATCATCGTCAATCGACGTACAAGTACTATGGTTGAGGTAAGGGGTATGAGTATGTAAGGCGCCAGAAGCTCAAGAATAGCTCGTGGTTCTCAACTTAATACGCTGTCGGCCCAACTCAGTGTAGTGGAGGGCTGAAAACTTCATGGCGAACACCAGGGCCTTCCATCGTTGTTGTGGTCTTTACATTTATCTAGTCCCGGACTTTTGCCAGGCATTCACGTGCCACACTGCGTATGGAAAGCTGCAGACGCCACGTTCCTGTATCCGAATGTAACCGATTGAAGATAGCGAGGCAAGAAGTGCTCAACTAGGCCTAGGCTCTTTTTCTGATGTGAATGTAGGATTTGAGATAGGACGTAGGATGTGGGATTCAATCGAGAAGAATACGGCCCTCTGATACGCCTGAAATCATTCACGGCAATACTGAAAGTACAAAGGGATGTCCCGCGTCTTTTCATACGTGTCCGGCTTTCCGCAAGCATGCTCACTACTGCAATAGTTTAAGGTTTAGGATTTAGGGCTAGAGGGTTAGAGGGTTTGGGGTGTATAGGGGCTTAGGGCTATAAGGTTTAGGATGTAGGGTTAGAGGGTTTCGACTCACACACTCGCTCACGCAGGCATGGCAGGTTCCGTCTCAGGGTTAGAGGGTTTGGGGTTTATAGGGGTTTAAGGGTTTAGGGCTATCAGGTTCAGCTCTTTCTGGCAGAGTCTGCAGCTCGTGGCACGGTTTAACAAGAGCTCGAGCTGCCCCAAGACTTTCCACCGCCATCAACTTCTACAGCTCTTCCTAGTGCATGAAAGCCATCTAACCCAAGACTCCAATATCCCTTTATTAAGGACTATACCTTAAATCTTCTTAGGTTGCCTATAATCATTTAAGGCATATTCCCTAATTAAGGGATATTGGAGTCTCTGGGTAACCCTAAACATGGCACTCGGCTAAGAGATGCAGGTCTCGGTGCTGTCAGCCATCGAAAACTCCCAGGGTTTTGAGTTTGGGGCTTAGGTCGAAAAGCCAACTTGCTGGACCGTTTTTTTCGGTAGAGTGAGCAGCATATCAAGCACACCTATCATAGGCCCCTCTAGCCTTTTAGAATCTTCGGCCAAAGCCTGAACCCTAATCCGCGTATAAGCCTCCAGAGCCCTAAACCCTAAACCCAAGACTACCAGGGCAGCACGGAGCTGAAAAGAAAATGCCTCTTGAATTACAAACTGCGGGCTGCGAGCTTGGCGAAGTTTCCATCCTGCTTTGGGTTTTGGGGCTTTAGGGTTTAGGGGTTTAGGATTTTAGGGGTTCAAGGGTCTGGGGCTTTAGGGGTTCAGGGGTCTAGGGGGTTTAGGGGTTTAGGGTTCATCAGTGAGAGGGGGCCCAAAGGCGCTCATAGGGTTGAAGTTTGAGGCCTCAGGGCTTAGAGGGTAAGACTGGCAGGGTTTAGGATTTATGGGGTTGGGGTTTAAGGGTGTACCTTGTAACATGTGGGGTGTAGCTGTGTAGCTTTGGATTTTAGGGCTAAAGCCGTGGCGATGGCTATGAGTTGGGAAAGTGCATGGCGTTCATGTCCTGGACCAACAATGACAGCTTCCCCTCCACCCTAAACCCCAAAGGATTCGAACGTTTCTTCCGCTACCGATCATTTCTTGAACAACCCTTGGGTGCTTGCAGGATTGCTTGTTGTGGGTTTGGGGTCTCAGCTTATAAGGCTTGGCTTTGCTTTTGCAGTGAATGCTTCAGGCATGTGCATTCCGTAAACTGTAAACCTCACATTTGTAAACCCAAAGGAGTCCATGTTGATCAGCTCGGTATAGGTGCCCGATTCCACGACTCGGCCGTTGGCCATCACGAAGATCTTGTCCTTGTCATTGGGCTTTTGGTTGTTTAAGGGGTGATTTAGGGCTTAGGCTGTAAGGGCTTGGGGCTTAATAAGTAGAGTTCGTGACATGGGTTATGAGGATGATCTACATCGACATACGACGTCAACAAAGCCTCCCAGACCATGAATGATTACAGCAGGATTTTGGCGCATGTTGCAAGATGCTCATAATGAGGAATCATAATAAGGAATCCTGTTCGATTTTGTCAAGCTTCTATATGACCTCAACGACGGACGAGAACGATACTATGCAGAACGCCCAGCTGAATGGAGAGAGTGAGGCTGTAGTGCCGGAAAAAACCCCGAAGTGGGCAAGATCAGGAGCCCAAGAACACAGAGATGCAAACCCCGAGCTCGACTTCACGATGACAGCCTCCCAGGCCGAATGCGTACAACTCCTCTCCCTTATCTTTCAGGACCCCCTTTCTCGCAGCATGTCTTCCGTAGAGGCCCAAAACCCCCCCTAAAACCACAAACACGCCCTAAACACGAAGCCTATGCCCTTAACCGTTTAGGAGGGAACCCCAAAACCCTAAACCCCTGGACCCAAAACCCCAAGCCCACAAAACTTGATGTGGGAACCCAGCCCCCGGAGCCCTAAAGCCCTAAACCCCAAATCCGTACTGCCCTACAGCAAACCCCCGAAAAAAACATACTCAAAACATCATTGTTAACTAAATCATATAAATGATCCCTCGGAGTCTTACAGGTATGAAGCTTGAAAATACTGCCCAAGAGCACGAAGGACTAAGGCAGACCCTAAAGCCCTACACCCTGAATGCCTGAATGCCTAAATGCCCAAAGACCCCCCCAAAAAAAACTCATAGGGTAGTTTTCTAAAGTAGGGTCCCTTTCTTCTTCCCCAATATACCACGGCACTCTTCTAAAAAGGGCCCAAAAAGGGACGTAGTTTAGACAACCACCCTCATGCACCCAAGTGCATGCCTATCCCCAAACCCCAAAATTCATGGGTACTTCTCCAAAGTAGGGTCCTGTATTAGGTCCCCCGCATAATACGGGCGCCCTGAAACAAAGGACCCGAAAAAGGACCCCTAGTTTGGAGAACCACCCGAAAAGCCTAATCCCTAAACCCTCAAAAAACCCTAAACCCTTAAAAGAAAGGGCCCCCCAGTATAGAGAACCACCCTTTAGAGAACCACCCTAAAACCCTAAACCCCTAACCCCCAAAAACAAAAAGGTACTCATGCAGACAGAAGATCTGAGTTCTGAATCGTGGAAAGGCGGTGAGCCACAGTGATGGTTGTCTTGCCGACCCGCGCCTCCTGTTTTCAGGGTTTAGGGTTTAGAGTTTTTGAAGGAGGTTTTGGCGTTCCTTAAGGGTTCTATACGGGCTTTATATTTTCATGGGTTGGGGTTCCCATCCTCTCTGCCGGCTTGAGCTTTAATTACAAGGTTGTAATCTTTTGGGCGCGAGATCTGGGATCTCGGGCTTACTATGGGGGCCTCAATACTTGAAATAGGCTTGGGGGCTTTTTTGTAGTACAGCTATAATATTAAGGAACCCTAAGGAATACTAATGGTCATTGTTTGGGCCTTTATATATTAGACAGGCGTTACCAATCTGTTAACAGGGTCTAGGGTATCTTAGAACTCTTAGGGTTTAGGGTTCGCTACGTCGAATTGTTTCTGCCGTATACACGCTGTGCCCCAAGGAAACCCTAACCCCTATAAACCCAATAAGCCCTACAAACCCTACAAAACCCTATAAGCCCTACAAGCCCTATAAACCCTAAACTTAAAAACCCCTGAACCCTAAACCCAGAGCCAGACAGCCAGACCCTCAGCCTCAGGCCTCTTATAGTTGAACCCATGGGCCCCGGGGCCCACAAACGGTGTCGGCTCAGGGCTTTGCCCCACATGGGGTCTAAATTCCTGTAATGAAGTGTAAAACTGCATCATCATAATAATTTTTCCAACCCTCTCCGACGCGCGCACTCGGCATCATAATAACAATAATAATAATAATACTAATAATAATATAATAATAATACAAATAATAATAACCTGAAATATAAAAAGTCAACCAAAACACCTCACACTCGAAATCCAATCCTTTCGATCGGAAAACCGGGAGCCGTCCTAAAGCTTATAGTCTGCGACCCGAAGCCGTCAGCAAACTCAACCCGTCATTGTATCAAAACTAGATCTAGAAAGCTCTAGCCGACGAAACCCTACAGCCAGTACAACCGAGGCAAGAAGCCACCAAACCCCACAAAAGCCGCTAGGCCCTAAACCTGCATCCCCAGACCACACCGTCCCAAAGCTCAAACCACAAACCCCCACAATGGGCTGCCAAACCCTCCCCCGGAACCCTACACCCGAAATCCCCAAAATCTCATCTAAACTCTAAATCCTCTTTTGAACCCAGACTGTGCCGAGCAGCTGGGAAGCAGTACTGCAAGACTCGCACAAGAATCAAGCCCTCTGAACCCTAAGCTCAAAAGCCTGAAACCCTAAATCCTGCATAGCCAGCTGCACCAAACGCTCAGAGGTCGAGTCCAGCGCCGACGTCGCCTCTCAGGCGCTCGTCTTCTATACGTGATTGGGAATAAGTATGTCTTGCAATAAATGCGACGCAGAATTACTTATAAGACATACTGTTGTTGATAAAGCAGCTGTTAACTTGTATAATGGTTATGAATGAGAATTATCGTGGTGCATAATTGTAGAATAACAGAATACCCAAAAGCAATAACACTAGTGAGTAAGAATATCAATGCTACGTATTGTTGGTATGATGAGCTTCATTCTTACTGTTACTGCTATGACATGTGTTGCTTGTGACTGTATTCCTTTGGCTGACAGTCAAAATTGCTCTGGCTAGGATCGCCGCTGACGCCACGAATTACTTCACCATCATTCTTCTTTTGAGGGGGAAGTCGTGGTGGCTGATTGCAAGTAAGTTGTAAGATCCCAGTCGTCTAGGCCTTGGTGGGTGGTTTTTGGTAGACACTCATCGGTAAACATTGCGCTTAGGGCTTTCCGGGCCTTGTAGGATTTACAGCCCACCTTGATGCGGGGATTTCAGAAAACTCAAACAATTCGGGGTGTTCCTGTACCAAAGGCCCAAGTCCCTCAAGATCTGTACCCGGTGCCTTAAACCCCACAATCAACCCTGCACCTTAAACCTTTAACCCCCAAAACTTCCAACCCCCAAAGTAAATCCAAAAATCAACCCTGCCCGCCTCATCGAGAAGCATGAACTGGGGTCGCCGGAGCAAGGCACGAGCAATGGCGACGCGCTGCTTCTGTCCGCCGGACAGCTTTTCCTAGGATTTGGAGCTTTAGGGTTTAGGGCTTTACACCGGTAGGCCTTTAGGCAACAAAGGATGTAAAGGAAAAATGATTAGGATGCACACCTGATGCTGCTTTCCGCTCGAATCCTGAACTATAAACCATGAAACCCTGCCATCTGCTCAGGGAGCAATCAATTCTCCCTGAAAATACGGCCGCTTGTCCTGACTTTGCAACTGACTTTATCAACTGACTTTATAATTGTTCCACCCGACTTCATGGACCACAAAGACACCAAACAAAAAAACACCTATAATTACCCCACACCCGAACTAAACCCCAAACCCCCTAAAACGCTTCTCCCAAACCCTTAAAACTGCTAAGACACCCAACACCCCTAAACCTGCAGCTCGGCGACTCCACGAAGCCCCACCCGATCCGCCCACTTCCTTTGCCGCCGGGAGCAGTTAGGGTTCAGGAGTTTAGGGTTTAGGGCTGGTTTAAGGGTTTGGGTTTAGGGTAGAAGAAGCGGTTAAGGTTTAGGAGTTGCGGGTGAGGGGTTTAAGAGTTTCGGGTGTGGGGTCCAAGGGTCCTAGGGTTTATAAGTATTGGGGGCTTAGGGGCTTCCCGGGTTTAAGGGTTCGGGGATCAGGGCTAGGAGTTAAGGGGTTTAGGGGGAGCTCAGGGCTACTTTGACAGGACCTTACCTATCTATCTATCTATCTATCTATCTATGTGTCTGTGTGAAGAAAATTATGTATGTATACTTTAGCATTTGGTCCACGGTACCTTGCGCTGCTCTGACTACGGGTCGTTCCAGACCGGGGCCCCCTCAAGAGCTGTCGAAGAATACCACCCAGGAGCTTGTGGCTTTCATGCCCTCCCTCTACTTCCCCCTGAAAATTTGGTTCGGGGGTCTTCTAGCAGAGCTATATATTACATAGGGATCATGGCAGGGATATAAGACAAGTGCTACATATTGAGACAAGAGCGACGATTCAGCAGCCTGAACCACAAAAGCTTGCGCATGCTACGGCAAGCTTCGCTGACTAACCTTTGCTTGACAAGCCTTGAGAATCAGAACCCTCCAGAACCCAGAACCCCAATGTTGGGGTTGATCGGGTTTTTAGTAAAGCCCCAAATCCCCAATGGGGCCTCATGTCAGGTCATGACTTGATTTTCGGATTCCCACAACGTAGTTGTAGTGGAATTGAAGCTGTGGGTAGTGAGTAGGATGGGCTTTGGGGTTAGGTCTTCTTAGTCGTACTGTATCACAGGAACCAAAGGTTTTCCTTTGGGATCATGTAGGGATTACAATACCCCCAAAACGTTCAAGGTTACCTTACCTTCTCTACTACTAGGTCTTAGAATGGAGGTCCAGGGTATGGGGCTGATTCTGCACTTCCCGGTTCGGCCAAGTGGCACGTTTCCGGCGAAGACGAAGTCCATGTTTGCTGCCCTAGCTGCATCTGTCACCTGTTCATCTGTGGCCTGAGGCAGGGAAACAGGACAGGGATCAGTTCGAGCTAACTGCCATTCCGAACACCACCAAACCCTAAACCCCTAAACCCCCAACCCCATCACTTGGCAACCTCCGAGCAATCCCAGGGTGAATCGAGAATTTGCCAATCTTGACAGGTTTGTAACAATACCCTACTATTTGTTGAAGTCACTAGTGTATTAGTCACTACGTTTAGTCTCAGCGTTGTTATTAACCTTGTTCAGTACAAGAAAACTACTAGGCATGGATAATAGCAGCTATTTGACAAGCCCGTAGAATGCTAATAATTTGATGTCGGCATCCGTAGAATCAAAGAATACTCAACATCCTCGGAAACATGCGCACAAAAGGCACTTCATGCTGCCGTATAGTAAAGCAGGATGTCGTGAGAATTACGATCTCAACGTCCATTTTGTAGAAAACCCCCTCACTTGGGATGGGATGGGACAGAGTCTTGGATTCCTCTTCCATGCGACCCCCGGGTTCCCTTCCAGAACAGCTGGCAAAGTTGCGGGCCTGTACCGAGATGTCTTGCAGGCCAGGTTCCGACTATCAGCCCAAAGCCAAGCTTAGGGCTAAGGTATTTAGGGTTGCGGAATTGAAGAACAAAACCGAAGGCGACTGCAAAAACAGCCTTTGCATGATATTATAGTTTTTGTGTTGTGTTCTGTTCTGTTCTATTCTAAACTCACACTGAAGCCACACTGTACTACATCATATTCTGTTCTATTTCCATTCTAAGATCATTCTATCCCCACACCCAAGCTCTCTGCCAGAGACGTGCGTTCCAAAGGGCCTCCTGATTGCCATATCTCACGTTCCTGAGTGCACTGCGGTCTGAGACCGCCCGTGATCCAATAAACCGTTTAGAGTTTAGGGTTTCTTGGGTATTTTTTTCCCTCCCACTTGGGTATAGATAGGTTTTAGGGTTTAGCGGCTCTTGGGTTCAGGGTGCTTGGGGCTTCTTGGGTTTAGGGTTTAAGCTTTGGAGTAGTAAAAGGTTTAGGGTTTTCTGGGCTGCTGCATCGCAAGCCAGGGGTGTAGGGTTTAGTCATCGATGAGTATGCCTTGAGGAGACCGTCTTGCCTACACTGGGCCTTTTTCCGTAACCCGATTCTGAAGGCTGAAGGTTTACCTTGTTGCTGCGACAGCAATCACCCTCTGGACGCTTAAGCCGGCTTTTTGGTTATGGTGGTTTAGGGTTTAGGGCCTAGGGGAAGGATGTCATCAGCAGGTCGACAGCTTAACTGCACACTTCTGGCCGGTGTTATCTGTGACTTGCACAGATTGCGGGTCCCTTGGTGTCTAGAGTTTCAACATGTCCAGGAACAGACTCCAAGAAATGGGCCGGATTTCAGAGTTCCTAAACCCAGATTGAGCCTTAGACACAACCTGCAATTCTCCAAGGCTCTCTTCCAGGGTCACGTCAAAGAGCACGGGCTCTTGTCCAACCATGCCAACCTCCCGGGCTTCAAAACTTTCGAGTCTTCCCCGGTTTAGGGTAGTTTAGGGTTTCTGCTTTAGGGTTTTGGGGTTTTACGGCTTTAGGGTTTTAGGGCCCTGAGGCAGACAAACCCAAAACCCTGAGCCCTCAAGATCGAATTCGTCTCCCCCTCGCCCTAGCTCCCCAAGCCTTTAAGGCTAGATGTTAAAGAGAGCCTGGAGCCTGGCCGCCAGTCGGAAACATCGTGAGTATTCAGGTTTGGGGGATTTCTTTGGCCAACCTGCGTAGAGGTCTTTTGCGGGCCGGAGTCGTGAATGTTTTTAGAGTGTTTAAGGCTTCCGGGTCTTGGGAACTCAACGTACTGGAGAGGTCAGGGATGTATAACTCGCATAGGCCGACGGATGATCACGAAGCCATGGTCATCCGGAAATCCTTAAACCCCACAGGCTCGTTAAATAAACTGAGCCATAAACCTCTCAACCGTTTCCCCTTCCGTGGCGCTAAGTCAGACTGGCCTGCTTACGCCACCACGCCACATTGAGATCGCGCAGGTTCTGGCCACCCACTTGGATGCAACCGGCCTCATCCGGTTTAGGATTTTTTGGGGAGTATACGTACGTATGTATGTGTGTAGGTATGTGTGTAAAAAAAATATATATATATATATGTGTGTGTGTGCGCATGTGTGCGTGTGTGTATTGCTTACATTCACACACACACACACACCTCTATCTATCTATCTATCTATCTATCTATCGATCTGTCTATCGATCTAGCTACATGCATGCATGCATGCATACATACGTACATACATACATACATACATACATACATACATATGCATACATACACATGCATACATGCATGCGTGCATACGTGCATCGGTGCAACATATACATATACATATCAGAAGCTAATAGGGTTTTGAATATTTAGACATAGGATATGGAGCAGGTGTTGGTTCTTCTTGAGAAATGTGTTGTTGCTTCAGGGCTTGCAACTCGAGGGTTGCAACTTCCACAATTCCTGTAACTCTGAGCCCGATAACATTATAAGCAGGTTGGAGAGCGATGTTATCGGAACCCAGAACTCCTAACCGTAGAATCCTACAGCCTAAAGTTTAAGTTCACCTCCACCCACCACCCCCAAAACTGCCTGCGGGTCGTAGAACCGCTGCAGAAGCTGGATCACGGTGGACTTGCCACTGCCGGAGAAGCCCACCAAGGCGACCTAAGCTCCTATTCCTCACACCCCCTTAGTGTTTTGAGGTTCAGGCTTGGCTGGTTTCCGTTGATCGACGCTCTCATCTGGACCGAAATATCTCAAAGCACGCGCAGGCGAAGCCTGAACCCTATACCCCTACCTAGAGCCCGAACTATAGAATTCTAACCTTAACATAGGCTATCCAACAAAGGTACTACATTATAGGGTCCAGCTAGACCCCAAGGCGAGGAGACAAGGAGCTGCCTGACCCTTCTCAATCTTGAAGTTGAGCTTCTTGAGCACCCTCACCTGAAGAGTTGGCGCGTGGGCCAGCGCTGATCTCTTCGGGTTTCGGATCGTAGGATTTAGGGTTTAGGGCAGGGTGCTTGATAGACTTCCTATATCGACCCTCCATCTATCGATATGCCGTAAATACCTGCATACAATTTGGAGCCATATACCCGCACGTGGGAGTCAAAAGGCGTTCAGCTTAGCCCCTTGCTCCATAAAGGCAACTATAGCGCGATTAGATGTAAAGGGTCTGCAACCAAGGGTATTTCCGCCAGGAGCACCGTCCATAAGCTCCTCACATGAACACATGTGCGCCTCGGGGCGATGAGGGTACCAGAAGAAGACGTCCTTGCGCTCATCTCAGGTACGATTAAATTTTTCAGGGTCCACGTAGAATGACGCCAAATTCCTCCTACTGCAGAATAAGTATTACGTAAATGAAGGAAAAAAGTACTACATCCGGGGTAGATTATAGCTCAGGCGAAGGGAAACTCATCCGATGCGGGTTGCAAACCTCGACGTAGATTCCATCGCCTTTGCCTCCAGATTGCAAAGACGAGAACCGAGAGCTTTAAACCTTCACTATCAAGCCTGGCAACTCCACGACTTTAGGCAAAAATCTCAACCCTGAAAGCCCCAAAGGCCCATGGACCCTCGTAAGCCCGTGCAAGAACCCAAAACTCTGGGAGATCCGAGAAATTGAAGCGCCTCATACCTATGGCTTGATCTGCGGAAACATAAGAACGAAAGAAGCCTCCACTCTTCAGCCAATTCAGACAGCCTCCGAACACTCTAAACCCTACACCCTTCTGGGATTTAGTTCGGGACCTAGGAAACCAGTGTTTTGGAGATGTCGAAGCAGGGATCTCTCAGTCGGGACATGGATATTACATCCTAAACTCAGGGCTTAGGACTTAGGGCTTAGGCGCGGTCCGAGTCGTGGGCGTAAGGAGGTGTAAGTAGGGTTTAGGGTTTAGGGTTTAGGGTGTAGTTTAGGGTTTAGGGTAGGGTTTAGGGTTTAGGGCTTAGGGTTTCCTTGAACTCAATGTTGCCATCACCGATGCTCTCGATGTGCCCGGTGGGCCGCGTGGCATCGATCTTGGAAACCTGGCGTCCCGGCTTGGCTCAGGAGATGCCGGGCATTTACGGTTGAAGATGCGGCTCAAGGCGAGCCTTCCCCTAGAGCTCCATGGCTCCATGATACATCTGTAGTATATACCTAGGCCTTATTGGGGTTCCTATATGGGTACTTTTAAGACCTAAGTATATACTGTATGAGTACAAGTGAGCTTTGAGGTTTCTCTTGGCTCTCTTATAACGATGCAACTCTCGAACAGGTGCCTGGTCGATGAGGCGGAAGACCTCCACAGCGGCGTGGTGACCCGATGCTGAGTCTGGGATGTACTGCACGATGGAGCTTACAGACCTAAGCGCAAGGCTGGGGTAGGCTGGGATCTAGTATAGGGGTCCTAAAACTCACCATAGGGTTCTGGGGGATATTATACAGCAGTCACTGTCAAGAACCCTACGTCGATATTATGCTCGGTGCTTGAGTTGGGGCATTCTTGGGGACACATCCTGGCAACGGGCGGGAAGAAAGGCCGCTGAATCGCCAGGACTCCAAACCGAAAACCAGGCCCCCTGAATCCCAACCAGCTTATCCCAGAGTCCTACGAGTCCCTAATTTCCAAAGAACCGACAAAACTGCGAATTGAGTCCCTTTAGTTTGGATCCAAGTGCCAGTGTAGCAAATACTTATATCGGGATGAAAATACCTACAGTAGTGGTGTTTACACAAGTTGGATGAGCCTCAAGCCGCCCCAAACCCTAAACCCCGAGACCCTAAACCCGCAAACCCTAAAGCAGCAAGGCGGCATCACACCGAAGACGACGCAGAACAGAGTCATGAGCACCTGGTTTGCATTGAAGTTCCAGTACCTCAGGCAGATCTGAGCAACTCGGACTCTAGATTCTTGACTTAGGGCTCATAGGGCCATAGGGCTTCGACTCACACACTCGCAAAGCAGGCATGGCATGTCCGATAACTGTCCGAGCTTGGCCATAGGGTTTAGGGTTTAAGGACTGCACGGCCCTCACCTCGAAGTCCTGAAGTGCATTGCCCTTCCACAGAGCATTGAAACACAGTGCAATTTCATAATCTCTAAGGCCGTGTTGCCCCACCTAAACCCTGAGCTCTTAAGTAACCTTCTGCCATTTCCGTGGGGCCCCCTGGCCCACATTTAGGAGTTAGGATTAGGGGGACCCTTGCGGAATAAGGTGCCTTTTTAGGATCCTGGTAGGGCTTTGGAATCAAAAACGGTTACAACATAGGGGCTACCTTCTAACTAACCCCAAGCCCAAAGGCACATCCTCAACTAAATGCAGGAATGAAAACTAAAATGGCACCCTTAAATTCAAAACCTAATCCCTTAAACCTTCGTTATAAGTTCCTGCGTCACGAGTTTGAGTCCCTGCTTGCCTCTACCACAATGAGATCCGAAGGAACTAGAACCCCAAACCGCAACTTAGGATAAGAGGTTATAAGATTTGCAGATCTCGTACAGGATTGATAGTTTGCTGAATTCCGTTCTGGGCTGTGCATGGGGATTAGGAGTTATAAGTGATAACGGGTTTGCTTCGCCAGTGATTCCTGCGGTGTAGTGTAGGGCTTAACTTCCGGTTGGTGCTTGTGGATTTCTTACTAGTAATAAATTCATACAACAATGACCTAACTCCGGGACACCAGACTAGACTGCTAACCCCACTTCCCCGCAAGCAAGGCTTGTGGCGGCATCTACGTACTGCAGGGGCCTTTAATTATTAGAATAGGGTTTTGGGGCTCATAATACTTTACTTATAACAAGGAACCCCCAAATAGTATAGGTAATTATTGAGGCCCCTATACTAGCCATCCAGGCTCCAGACTGAATGCACACCGCACTCATCGCAAAGCCTGCCGAATCCGAAGCTTGGGATTGGGGTTGCAAGAAATGTCATGTTCTTGCGGTTCGACCCTTTCTCCTGCTTTTGGTTTGAGTGCGTGGGGCACAGGGTTTCCTCAAGCTTTGGGCATTTGAGACCTGAGATCGGGAGCTTCATCGTCAGGGCTTGTCTATCAAACTGGAAAAAATCTGCTCGTTTATCGCGACAGGGAGCCTGAGTTCAAGAACCGAACACCTAAACCTTAAACCCCTAAAACCTCAACCGTAAAACCCCCTCGACCCATAACTCCGACATCCTGGACCGCAGGGTTTACGCTCTCACAAGGTGTAGGTTTTGGGGTTTAGGGTTTAGGGCTTGGAGTTTAGGGTTTAGCCTTTGGGGTTTGGGGCTTACACTCCTCAGCGCTCTGCCTCTAAAATGTGCAAGTGCCACACTAAGTCCCGCAAAACCACGGCTTGGAATCCGAAAAGCATGGGACCCTCGAATGTTCTGAAGCGTACGCACTAAACCCAATAATTTGCAACAGACTTCATTGAACTTTCCTGAATCCAAAGGAAAGCAGGGTCTCTGTGAGTCTGTCTTATGCGACGGAGAGCTAGCCCAAACCCTAAACCCTAGCCCTAAACCCTAAACCCCCAACCCTAAACACTTAACCCTAGACCCTTTTGCAGCAGGCTTCGCTCGCCCGGAACTGCCGTAAACCCTAAACCCTAAACCCCTTAACCCTAAAACCAGCAATCGCGAGGGACCTGCGAGGTAGACAACCTGGATCAGGCACCTCTGCTGTTTCGATGGTTTTTCGGGTTTACCAGATCCAGATCTCTCAAAAGTCTTAAAGCCAAGCCATTGCCCGGATTGTATGCAGATACCATACTCTGTGCCACTTTGAGTTCTTCTAGAAAACGGCAAAAAATCATGCTAAACCCTAATGGATTCAGGCCTGGGGCCTTGTAGAAGCCGATGTTTGGAGAAATCGGCTCGGTTCTTCGCTTCTGTGAAACTCTTCCGGATTCTTGGGACTCCGTTGCTTAATTTAAGTGAATTGAACAGGGACACTACCAGATACATATGGGCGATATACACCCCGACACTGGCTCGGAGCGCAGCTCCAATGTTAGCTAAGGGATGATTCAATGATACTACCACCCCTTCAAAAGGTTCAAGTCTGCTTAGTCTGCTACTCAACAAACAGGGCCCTAGGTTTGCAGATGAATGCGAAGGTTTGGGCTGTTAGGGCTTATGCAGGCTTGTGCTCTGGGGAACTACAAAATGCAGAGCTTGAGGCAGGCTGAGGTTTTGGTTTTGGAGCGAGGATGAGGCCAACCAAACCTCCAGCAGGCTCAACCCTCCAAAAAGTGCAGCCGGGGCCCTAGTGGAATGCTCCCCCGGGCCGGGGCAGCATTCCACAAGTAGGGTATGGTATGGTACCGTATGAGATGCTATGGTACAGTATAGGTGTATGTGCGAGTATGCGTACACACAACTCACAAAAGTATCTTTACTAGTATGGTTCACCCTAACAATATCCGAAGTCTATGCCATATATTCAGACCCCGAAAGTAACCCGAACCTAAACCCGAAACCCTCCATAGCAGTTGCAGCAGAAGCGGCATGTTCATGCCCAGAGAGATTCCAAGCTTCCAAGACTTCGAGGTCTTGGCGGTTTGAAAAAGTAGGGCTCCGGGATTGGGGTTTTTTTTTTTGAGCACCTTTGCCGGGATTGGGGTTTAGGGATTAGGGCTTAGGGCCTTAAAGTTTAGGTTAGGGGTTTGGGATGTTTGGAGTTTGGGTTTCAGGAGGGCTGACGTGCCTATATATACAGACGCGAGAGTCCACGCCAGGACAAGTCAGCGGGCGTGTGCGGGATAGGCTGAGGGAGCTTCCGGATGCCCGTGGGGCCACGATGAGGATTATGATTTCGATAGCGGCGAATAATTATAAAATGATTTTGGCAATTCTTCGACCCCTATATTACAGACCGTGCAGAGTTTGTCCATTTGTCCTTGCTAGCGAGGTAGCATCCGTAGCAGTGTCCACAGGGTCATCAAAAGCCCACGTGTGACTAGCAGATCAGCAACCCTGTGCTTGGGAATCGTACCCAGGGCAGGGCGTGTACCAAGTTTACTTGAGCATACTCTCAGAACACATCTTGCATCTAGCTGGAAGCAAAGCAAAATACGTAAGTCTGTAAACCCGCACATCCATCCTGAAGCACCATCTACACTTGGATCACTCTACAAGTTCGATGGTGGAAAACTGGTCTCTCTGACCCAAGTACATCGGAGTGTCCATCAAGGATGGCCCCAAGGTGCGTCGGCCCAGAAATAAATGACATTGAATTGAGTTTCTACGTACATTGGGGTAAGCGAGAGATGTCGCAATCAACAGTTCAAGCGCAACATTCTAGAAGAAGGTCATCATACATCGCCACCCCATTTAGAAACGAGATTGCTGCTTGGGCGTGATGCAGCATCCATGGAATTCCAACGGTTCTATGCCGGCCATTAGCCAAGTCACAAAATTACGGAAGAGTGGTTTTGCTAAGGTGGTTTAGGGTATCGACTCCGGCAGCAACACCACAAGCTCATTGTCGATCTGGGCCCTACTGACATTCTCGCAAGAGAACTCCTCACATCGGCAGACAACCCTATCGGCCCCGAACCCCAATTCCCATTTCCGGACTCTCTGAACAACCCTAAACCCTTAAACCAGTAAACCCTACAACCCCATCCAGTCTAAAAAAGCCCAAGCATCGTTCACCTCGGTCAAGACATCCAGGGATTCATCGATGATCTCCAGCGTGTACTCTTCCTCTAATGGAGCCCGATACGGGTTCTATATTGATGTGGGTCTATGGGGGGTCAAGTGGTACTACGGGGGGCTCCAGGGGGTTATCGGGTAGATGGCACAGCATGTTGCAGACGCACACATGAAACGACCATGCAAATAGTCAACCCAAGCATCATACTCGCCAGTAACTTGACCCTTTTACACCCCCCAAGCCCTCCGGAACCCCCTCTGCTGACTCCGACACCCAAGGCAACTTAGTCCTCAGCCCTAAGCCCTCGTAACCCTAAACCTGAAGTTCGGCTCCAAGAGACGGCTCCCAAAGCCCTCACAGTGCGGATGGCCGTCGCCGCCTCTCTTCGCGGGATCAGGGCACGGAGGAAGGGTTTAGGGTTTAGGGTTTAGGGTAGGGTTTCAGCCAGGTTTACGCTCCCACAACTCGGACAAGCCAGGCGAGGTTCCATAGTTCGAGGTCGGCGTGAAACAAGCACCACATCCCATCTCTCAGAACAAAGCCCAAGAACCAGCTCTAAAGGTTTAGGGTTTATAAGATTTTTTCTTCTATTTCCAAGTGCACTTTTCCGTCTGGCGGTGGGAACCCGGCGTGGGCGATTACTTTAACTCCAGCAATCCGGGGTCTGCACGGGTCCTGGATCTTTCAACCGTCAGTTGCATGCCGGATCAGCTTAAATCACAAGCTTTTCAAATTCGAACGTTTCGTTGCCTCCGACGCTTCAAGCACATTAAACACATCTCCCGAAATACAGCCACACGTCTTTGGGGGTGCTGTCAGCAAACCTCGACACAGTCTAAACTAAACTTAGCTAAACATTTGTACAACACAAACAAAATGGAGGACATTGAAGCCTTCCCGACCTAATTAGTCGAAAGTTCAATCTCTGATGCCGCACTTGGGATAGTCCATCCCGCACTTCTCGGATCGTTGAGTTCGCTTTCGGAGCACTACACGCGACTGCGACATGTGCAGGTCAGAAGGTGTACGTAACTGGGGCCGACAAGTCTGCGACAACTACCCAGCAGTTCTGGAAATATGAAATCATGTCTGTCCAGCTCTTGCCACCAGACGGGCATGATAGCTGCAAAGGTCGCAAAGTGTGCACAAAGCCTCGGCATGCCACCAGCAAATAAAACTCCAGACTCTTACGCCAACTCAGAC